AGCCCAACAATGTGCATATCTAACAAGTTCCCAAATGTCACTGATGCTGCTGGTGTGAGGACCATACTTCGAGCACCACTGGCCTGTAGCATTGCCTTCAAAAGATTCTTTGCTCATTTCCCTCTTAGAACAGTTTTGTAAAAGTGTTTACTTTCTTATATAAATTTTCAGGTTGAGAAGTATTTTTTAGCATGAGGTTTAAAGATGCTACGGATATTATTTATAGTGTAGTGAAAATCTTGACTTTTAAATAACAAATTATACTTTGTTTCTATTTTCTAAGACATACATGCGTTTAGGGATAAATCTAACAAAATACTCATAGTACATGCAAGATCTGTATGCTGAAAACCACCAAACACTGATGAAATTAATCAAAAACATAAATAAAAGAGATATACTATGTTCATGAATTGAAAGAGTCAATACTGTTAAGTTATCAATTCTCCCCAAATTGCTTTACACGTTCACTGCAACCTGAATCAAAATTTCAGCAGGATCTTTTATGCCATTGAAAAGCTGGTTCTAAAATGACATATAATATCCAAAGTGATTTTCAAGTACAACAAAAAAGGAGGACTTACAGCACTTGGTTTTAAAATTTACTGTAAAGCTACAGTATGCCTCCCACCAGCCTTTTTCTTTAAACAAGCAGGAAAATTACAATTGTGAAAAAAAAAAGGGTGGGAATGGAGAACCGACATCATGTAGACTCTAGGAGTGTTTTCAGGAAGATTAATTTTATGAAAGAGAAGTTGAGAAGCTACAAACTGCTTTCCTTAAAACTACAATGTCTACATCTTGGATTCTTTCTAGTCGTGTAATTCAGCTAGAAGACTGCTGGTCTATAAACACCAATCCCCTTACCAAAGCTCACAGGAGTCTTTACCTCAGGGTCTTGCCTCCCCGTCTAGCCTTATCACCCCTGCCTCACCTCACATAACAAATGACACTCTAACAGTAGCTTACTGCTTCCAGTCCCCTCATACGCTGTGTCCTATTTCTCCTCTTTGAGCTTTCCTCATGGTATCAAACTCCGTCTTTAACATCTTTCATTTTTTTCTCTATCGAGCTAACTTATTTAAGCCTCAGTTTTAGCTTCTGACTTCCAAATACTGTATTTCACCCTACTTACTATGGAACTTACTATACTATTAGATGTGCAATTACATTCTTATATAACATTTCACTTATCTGTTAACTTCCCAAACAGACCACAAACTCTTTACGTAAAATACACTACAAAAGTAATATTAAGGAATTCTTTTCCAATCTTGGTACATAATCTTCAATAACTAAATCCTAAAGAATACAAATAACACCTTTTCATGTTGTCTAGATTTTTAAAAGGGCATAGAGCAGTATCCATACGTTTAAGACCATTTTCATATAATTACAATGGTAAAGGAAAAATAACAAACCAAAACACCTTTTAAAATCTCCTTTTAGGGGGCCGGCCCGGTGGCGCACTGCTACAGTGCGCCGCTTGGGAAGCACAGCAGCGCTCCCGCCGAGGGTTCGGATCCCACATAGAGACCGGCCGCTCACTGGCTGAGCGAGGAGCGGGGGCAACACCGAGGGTTGCAATCCCGTAGCCAGTCCCGGTCCGGTACGGGCACAACACAGAAGGTTGCGATCCGTTGCCGGTCACGAAAAAAGACAAAAAAAAAAATCTCCTTTTAGACCTTTGACTATAGTTTTAGGATCAGGAAAAAACAACAGGTTCTGATTCCTGATTTCCCACTAAAATCATTAAAGCATATTCTTAACAGGTCTTTGATGCACACTTTCACTCACCTTAACACTACTGCAGTGCAAACCTTTGGCCATGAGAATATAAACCAAATCCTTTGTTAAATTGTCTTTAATTCCCAGGATAACACCACTAAAGACAGAAGGTACTTCCCACTAGAAGACATAAAAAAACATAAATACATACACATAGAGAATGCCAAATCTAAACAAGAATCTTCTGATAATCTTCAATCAGGGCTGACTGGTTAGCTCAGTTGGTTAGAATGTGGTGCTTTAACTTCACTGTCAAGAGTTTGGATCCCCATACTGGCCAGCCAACAAAAAAACAAAAACACTTTCAATCAAAAAAAAAAA